AAGGACACAGGTTGATGCTATACAGGCAGTAGGCTTGCAGTGCAGTCAAGGAACACTGAGGTGCCCCCCCAACCTTCCCCAGGTTCCCTCTGTCTCTTGTGGGTAGCCCTCTCTGCCAAGGGATGGGAGGGTCCTCCTGCCATTGGGCATCCCCCTCCAGCCCTTCTCACTGGCCCTGGAAAGCTCCAGGTTTTTCATCAGGTACAGGAGCAGAGGGATGGGTCTTTCTGTTTGTGGAGTCCCTCAGCCAAGGGGAGGGAAGTTTCCTTAGTTCAGGAAATCCCCCCAAAGCTATCGTAAAAAGAAAAAGAGAGAGTAGGGAAGAACAGATAAGAAAATTAATGACCAGCAGTTCTAACAGCTATATAATAGGAGTTCCATAAAGAAAAAATTGAGCCCTGGCTGGAGTGGCTCAGTGGATTGAGCACTGGCCTGCAAACCAAAGGGTCACCAGTACAATTCCCCAGTTGGGGGCCATGTCCCCAGTAGGGGGCACGCGAGAGGCAACCACATATTGATGTTTCCCTCTCTCCCTCCTTTCCCCTCTGTATAAAAATAAATAAATAATTTTTAAAAAATAAATAAAGAATTGAGAAGGAATAGATTCATACCAAAGCATATTGTTAGGAAATTTCAAAAGTTAGAGAAAAAAATAAATATTTTACAAGCTTCTGGAGAGGACAGAAAAAAAAACAACAGATCGCACATGAAAGAATCAGAAATCAGAAAGGCTCTAGACATTCCAAAAGTACTAATGAAAACTAGAAGACAACAGAGACATGCCTTCAACCTCTCAAGAAAATTATTCCTAAGCTAAAATTCTATACCTAGCCAAACTTTCAATCAAGTGTGAGGGTATAATGAAGACATTTTCAGATATACAAACACTCAACAATTTCACCTCCAGAAGCTTCCTGATAATGTGGTCCATCAAAATGAAATATAAGCTAAGACAGGAAGATTTTATATATATGGAATTCCCAGGATGATAAGAAAAGGAGATCCAAGGAAGGTGTGGAGAGCAGTCTGTCTAAGTCTGAGATTTCTGAATGTCTTGCAATGAGAATAATATGGTTGGTGAAGATTTTGTAATTGAACAAAAACATTAAAAAGTAATAACTATTAGCTCTATTGAAAATAAAAGGTTATGTGGAAAAGTAAAATAATTATAGTTTACTACATAGCAGAGCTATAAAGGTATTAATTATATATAATAATAATGAAAACAATGAATATAGATCTAACATAACTTCTCATATATAGTGTTTATATTAGGCAGATGGAACATGGGAAATGGGCATGTGAGGTGGAGGTTGGGAAAGGAAAGAAGGTAAAACATCATCCAAAGTATTGGTTTTATAATGTATAGCACTGAAAAGTCAAGAAAACATTTTATTTAGAGACATGGAGGCAAATAGCTCCAAAATAACCAGCTAAAAGATGTGAAAGATAATTTTAAAAAATGGTCTGGAAACCACATTACTTTGCATAAACCAGGCATTGTAAAAAAGAATACTTACTGTCTTAAGCGAAGAATTTTCACTGGGAAATGATTCACAGAAAAGGGAGGAACTGCAAAAAGATTATGTCTTTTGCACATAAGGTGGTTCTCTACAGTATACCCCATCGCTCTAGATCACCAGTTCTTAGCCTTTTGGTCCATCTAGTCAGTTGCTGAGTAACAATGTGGAAGTTGGAAGTAACAATGTGGAAGTTTATCTAAAATAAAAAGAATTGATTCAAGGCTCAACTACTTTTAAAGCTTTATAGGACAAAATAAATACTAAAAATGAAACATTAAAATTTAAAAAAACACAGATGAAAAAAATGCCATGAACAAGACAGAAAACGAGGAAAAACAAATAACTCAGAAGAAAATAAACTAGCCACTGGTATTTCAAAAAGCGAAACAAAACTTTGAACCTTTTGAACAAATAAAGATAAATGTCACAAGAAAGAACATTTTCAGATCAATGAAGAAACCAAAAGTCCACATGAGCAGCCCAAGGCTAAGGCAGATTAGAATGCGAGATCTCATCCCACTTATAAGAGGAGAGGCAGGGTAGACATGGACAAGAGGGAGGAAACCTCAAATGACTGGAGTCCTGGCAGGCTATGGGAGAGGAGGAGACGTCACATAGCCACTTACACACCCAGAGAAACTTTCTGAAAGTACTGAAATCTCAGAGGAGGTGTGAAGGTCTAGAATAGCTTGCCAAAAAGAGGTAGAAAGAGTGTTACTGAACAGGAGGGTGTGAGGCAGCTGAGAGGGGAAGGTCACATGGTCCTGACAGGGATGCTACCTGAATTTGGGACTAGGCCATGGGGATCTAGTGGTTATATCAGGAGGGAGAAAGGGGTCTAGAGAACCAAATGTGGGTCTTTCCAAACTCACCTCCCCCCCTTCCAACAAAGAACACCAGGACTAGCTTCCTCTGCAGACAGGACCAACTTCAAGTGTAATTTCAGGAGACCCCACTCCAGGAGGGCCTCTCTGCCAAAAATTATCTCCTTAACAATTGCTCAATAACTTTAAGATAGCATGTTGCTCTGTATCTGGGGGACCCCTCTACAATCAACCCATCAGGCCACAAAGATGCACAGAAAGGCCTACATTTCCAAGTAACTGGCTCCCTCTTTATTCTATGTGTTTTATTTATAAAGGATTAAAATTATCTTGAAACCATAAAGATAAACATAAGGAAAACATAAATAAACACACTTTTAAAATTAAGAAAAAATAAAATTTGTCTCAGCAACTGACTAGATGGACCAAAAGACTAAGAACTGGTGATCTAAAGCGATGGGGTATGTAGAGAATATAGGCTGTGAAGGAAAAGGCACAAGAATAAAATGTGCCTCCTTCATTGAAAGACACTGGATGTTCTTTGGACAGGGGCCCTCCAGGATCTGACTCCAACTCCCTTGGAATATATCACCCCACCTGCCATCCCCTCAATCTTCTTCCTGAACTCTGTTTCCTCCATATTGGCCTCAATGACCCTCAGATAGGTCCGGTGCTGTCCCTTTTGATTGATGCTCATTTATTCATTAATCTATTTTTGTAGGCGTTTATTGTTTATTCATTGTCTTCTTTCTTCCAGGAGCTGGGCAAAGCACTAGGGACAGAGAAATGAACATAACACATACTATCGCTGTCCTTCTAAAATTTGCCCCCTGCTGCCAACAAAAATTCCATCCCTGTCAATGTCTTGCTTAATCACATCTCTCATGAGGCCTTTTTTTGGACACCATTCCATACTTGACTTCCTTCTCTGATGAAACTCTTGCTGTCACCCACCATTAGTATCAATCATGCAAGATTTGAAGGAACGTCTTGATCACACTTGGCTATTAGACATTTTAGGTTTTTGTAATTAAGCTATGAAAACTCCTCTCTTATTCTTAGGTTTAAATCATTAGGCACTATTAAGTTTTTGTCTGTTTCATCCTTAAAGCTAGAAAAGCCAAAAGATTCTTTTGGCACTATTACAGAAATCACCTGATTTTCAGACTGTGCTTTGTGTCAATACTTTCTCCTTTTGAGTTGATTTTGTACTTCTGTAAGCTCTCCAGCCCTATGGACTCGATTATCACAGACTTTGTTCTTGCATTTCTCAAGTCCTTCACACTGTCTTACGGTAGCAGCTGCCTGGCACCTAATATTTTGCCTTCCTGAGCATTTTATTCTCGTCAATCACTGTCACCTGTTTGACCCTCCACTGTTTAGCAGGCCTGTAAGAACATATGAAATATAAATTTTTAAACTGCCTTTAGCCTCAGTCTGGCCCCATAACCAACCTTGGTTCCCCTACCTCCATTTCTGAGTGGCTGTTGCCTGAAAACATCCTGTCCCAATTTTGGTAGCCGTGACATCATTAGTTTCTGAAACAGTCCTTATTCTGACTTTACACAGAATTACCAGTTAGGTCTCAGAATCAATGGACAGACTCAGAATTAAGCATGACCAAATCACACAATGGAACTAATTCTGTGAACATATGCTGCTGCCAACAGGGCCAGAGATGCTACCACATGGACCCATGACAAAGTCCCAACACGAGATTGTATCTCAGCTCGCCAGTGGCAGACTGTCTGTAGACTTGCTGAGAAAATCACCCACCCAGCCTGGCCCATGTATCCTGTTTTGTTACAGTCAGGAGAGGAGCCCATCCTTGCACCTCACAGGGAAGGGGTCAAAGCCAAGCCATTCCCAAAACTACACTTGGCATTCCCTCCAAGTAGTCAGCTCCAGGACATGGGAAGTCCAGAACCTTCCACCCAGACACAGTGAGCACGATGTTGCCTTTCCTGCTGTCCCTCCTGCTTGTTCTGGGTCCTACAGTCCCCCGAGAAACCCAAGGTGCTAAGTTGGGAGGCAAGGGTTGGGTATGGAGAAGAACAGAGGGGAGGTAATGAACAGGATAGACGGGCTGGGAGAGGGACCCAGATGAAACCTGGATTCCCAATGTCCAATACAAAGGAATGTTCTTGGCTGCCTGCTAACTCAGCTCACATATTTCTAGAAGGATTTAGAGAGCCTCTCGACCCATGTTAAATAAGACCTTAAAAAGTTAGAACTAAAAATTTTTAGTAGGCAAATGAACAAAACTAAGACTTAGACAAGTGAAGTGACCTGACCAGGGTCAGAGCCAGGACAGGGCGGGGGCCACACAGCTGGAACTTTTCGTTCCTCTCTCCTTCTCCAGTAGTTGGACGTATACCTCTGATTCTCGGGAAGAAAGACAGCAACTCCAAAGAGCTCTTGTAAAGGCATATGAACGGAAGAATGCTTCTAGGAACAAAGCCATTCCCTCACTCCACAGTTAGACACTATGACAGAGGGCCTGGAAGGCTAGTGATTGGGAAAGAAGCCAGATGGAGGTTGGGCAGAACTAGGGTCAATTTCACAACAGAGTAATGAGGTGTTTTTTTGTTTGTTCCTTTGTTTGTTTTTTGGCATACAAAATTTCATGATGATATAAGCTAAACTGTGCAAGTTTAGAATTTATTACATTCACAAACTGTCAGATATATGTTCTATAACAATTGATCATATTTAGATTGTTACATTCTCCACCGAAATGTAATTTAGTCAGGGTTCTTTAGAGAAACAGAATGAATGACATATATATGTACAGAAAGAGAGATTCATTTTAAGGATATGGCTCACAGCATTGTGGGTTGGGAAGTCTGAAATCTGCAGGGTTGATCAGCACACTGGAGACCTAGAGAAGAGATGACGTTGCAGTCTTAAGTCCAAAGGTAGTCTGGAGGCAGAATTTCTTCTTTTGGACACTTCAGTCTTTTCTCTTGTGGTCTTCAACTGATTAGAGGAGGCTCACTCACATTATGAAGTAGGACCTGCTTCCCTGATGTCTACTGAGTGAAAAGATAATCACATTTAGAAACTAACGATATTAACTTCAGTACTGGAACTGGAAATCTGCTATATGACCTCTAACATTAGTAATACCCATGAGAGTTATATCGGGAATACATTTTGAAATTAATTATGAAAATGCTCCAACCATCTACCACTCCCTTACTCACACAAAATCGCAGGGGCTCTTCTTAAAAAGGAGCAGGGACAGCACCGGCTTATCTGAACTCCATCATGTTCTTACCTTATATTGATCCAATCGTAAGTCACTTTCTGAGGTTTCTAGTCAATTCTTCTTCCTACACTTCCTACACTTTCTAACTGAATATATTTATCATGTTGAACTAGATAATGCTTCAGTAACAAGGGAAGTTTTTAGTGACTTAACTGAGCAAATGTTTATTTCTTGCTCATGTAAAGATGAATACAGATCAGGCAACTTTTTTGTGCTCCATGGTGACTCAAGGATCCAGGCGGTGTGCATTTTCGGTCTCTTCTGCTTCATCCTGTGGCCTCCAGAGTCCTCACCTAAATAGAAGAGAGACAAAGGGTTCAAACAAGCTTTCAAGCCTCTCACCAGAAGGAAGGCATCACTTCCCCTCACATTCCTTTTTGACAGAACTCAGTCATGGTCCCAATACACCTACAAGAAGGCTGAGAAATATCAATTTTTTGGTGTGCCAAGAGAGGAAACAAAATAGTCTCTGAAATATCCCTAGAATAGAATTAGGACCCATTCTCTCAAGCAAGCTTCCAATAGTATGTGGCTGAGATCATGGTGGAGAGCGCTGGGAAGGGAGAAGCCCAGTGACCAGATCTCCCTTCCTTGTCCTCTGTTGTCCCATATTGGGACTCCCTTGTGTGGACCCAACATCTGAATCTCTTCTTCTCTTTTGCAGGGCCCTATTCTCTGGCCTTCCATTCCATAGGGCTGTCTAGGCCCAAACCAGGCTTCCCCAGTTTTCAGGCCACTGGCTACCTCAATGACCAGGCCTTCTTCCACTGTGATAGTGAAAGCAGAAAGGCTGAGCCCTGGGGCCTGCGGAGACAAGTGGAAGAAATGGAGAACTGGGAGGAAGAAAGTAACATCAGAAGGCCAGGGGGGACTTCTTTCTGAAGAATCTGAAAGACATCATGGACTCTTACAAGGACAGAGGTCAGTGGCTTACAGGCAGCTGGGGTGGAAGGTCACAGCTAAAGAGGAAGCCTTGCAATTGTGAGTGTAAAGGCATCTGCAGGCTAGAAATACTCTCATGCCATAAGGGAAGCCAGCAGCACATTCAGAGATTCACAGACATTTCTGCATCCCACAGACCTTTCTGCCCCACAACTTACCTGTTTTTTCCTCCTTCACCATTACTTTCCCCATCCTCACTCCCAGGCCTTAATCTCACATCAAGTGAAGTCAGTGTGAGCCTGTGAGCCCTTTGTATTATTTTTTTATTGTCACCACTTTTTAACTGGTTTGAGAGAGACAGAGGGAAAGAAACATCGATGTGAGAGAGAAACATCAATCAGTTGCCTCCTGTATGCACTCCCACCGGGGATTGAATGCACAACCTTTCAGTTTACAGAACGTTGCTCCAACCAACTAAGCCACACCAGTCAAGGCAATATCAGACCTTCCTGAGGTACATCTGACCTCTCAGCTCCATGCCCCCACCTGTCTGAGGTCAATCCCACTTTTAGAAGGTCTCAGACTTATCCCCATGCAGGGGATGCTGGATGGGGAGTGAGCTAACCTTGGCATCATTTTGACCAGTGTTCAGGTGCTGACTCTGCCTTTTACCGGCTGTTTGACAGTGAACATGTACTTAATTATCTGGTCTGAATCTGCAAAGATTGGAGCATCGAGTCCTGCCTCCAAGACATTCCATAAAATTTATCTAGGCAAGTTCTGTGAAAGCTAGAACATAGCCTCTCTTGATCTCCCTTGGAGCCCCATAATATAAGACAGGCAATGAATATGCTGAATGATTGAGAGAAAGTGCCTAGTATGAACCATGGCTCATACTAGCAGCTCAGGAAGGATTGAATTGAAAACTACAAACTGTCAAAGGTGCATAAAATCATAAAGACCCTCCTGTTCATAAGGAGGAGACTTGGGTGGAGGGGTCATCTGGACTTGAGGTGTGAGGAGCCAGGGCAAAGTGGAGCACAGAGACTATTTCTTATGTTTCCCAGCCCAACATTCTTTCTCCTGAACCACACTGCCTAACCTCCAAGCCAGACAATCGCAGGCCTGGCTAACTGGTGATTTTAAAGTTAGTATAGGGCAAGTGTCAAAAGATGTGTTTCTGAGTATAAATATACCCAAGAAGTTACATGAAACTGAAAGTTTCCAAAAGAAGAGAAAGGTTACTCAGAAGTCTGAAGAGTGTGGAATGGGAAGCCCTTGCGAGAAAACAGCCTGAGTTGTGCTCAGAAGTAGGAAAGGGAATGGCACCGGTGTCCAGGAAGGACACCGGAACAAAGTTTAATTGACTGGAACAGAAATGTTGATGTGAGTAACCAGGAGTAAAGAGAATAAAGAGATGAATACAAGGGTATCAGGAAATAATAAGACTTGACATTTACTGACCGCTATGTGCCAGACACATGTATTAATGCATGCAATGATCACAATAACACTCTAACACAGTGCAGTTGCCAATGCCATTTTAGAAATGAGAATATTGAAGCAAAACAGGTTATTGGCTGAAGGTTATGCAACAGGCAGGTAAGGGTGAAGACAGACCTAGGATTTGAGCCCCAGTAGGTTGAGATCAGAGCCTGTACCAATAGCACTAATCAATATTGGGTAAACACCTACTTTTATAATCAAAATAAAGTGGTTTGGTCCCCCTTTCCTCAGTAGGTCAATTTTGAAGAGGTGTTGCCAGTTGGGAAAGGAGACAAGTATTAAAGATTTCTAATGAACATATCGAACACCACAATAGAGGGAAGAACTGATCAACTTATGTTGACTCAATTGGGGACATCAAGTCCACGTAGAATGAGAAAAAAGGACAGACTGCACAATCTTTTTTAAACTACAAATAATTTTTATTTAACTGGTCAACACACTTCCATGTGCTTGTGTCCAGTTCCTAAGACCTCACACTATAGTGAAACAAAGTTATTTAAAGAGAAGCTGCATGGGGCTAGAAGATCTGTCCCCAGTCTGTAGCTCTCTGAAGTCCTCTGGCTAGGTAGCATCTCATCTCAGACTGGCCTAAAACACTAAAGCATGCTAAGTTTCCCTCTCTCTGCCTGCTCTATGACTAGCTAATAACCCAATTGCCAAGATAAAAGGGGTAGAATGTTCAGATTTCAAAACCACGTCTACCTATTAGGTTGCAAACTGTGTAAAAGTAAGAATTATTGGCCAGATTGACAGATTTCTGGGGTGTCCGGGTAGATGGAGAAACCACATCATGCAGGAAAACATTGGTTGTGAACTCAGGAATAACAGCTACTGCGGGGCATTCTGGATGATTGCCTATGATAGACAACCTATATCAAGTCTAACACGGAAATACCAGTTTGGATACCCCTGAATCCAGAACCTCTGAAAACCAAGCCAAAGTGGGAAATGGAAGGCTCTGTGCAGTGGGCCAAACCCTACCCAGAAAGGACTGCCCCAGACGTTGCAGAACTACCTGCAATGCACCAAGAAAATCCTGGACCATAAAGGTACCAAGTGCTCTCTCTGTCCTGCTTCCCCACACTGAGCTCAGAAACACCAAGCTAATCCCAAGCCAGGAGCTCAGGGGAACATTTCAGGCAAATCCTGCAGTCATTTCTCTGTATGATATGCCTCCTGGCTTGGCTGTGGTGCGTACAATGTCTGCCCAGGAAGGGTGAAGATGAGTAAGTGTGAGCAGGACTGTTTCACTTTAGTGAGAAACAATGGGAAAGAGGGCCACGTCGGGGGGAGGAGGGAGGGGTCTCCGTGGCAGAGCAGCAGGCAGATCTAAGGGGCAGGGCTCAGGCTGCAGGAGACAGGCACCCCAAAGCCCACAGTTTCTCTGCATCAGAAGTCGATACGCAGTGCGTGGGCAGGGTGGCTGCTGGGAGGCAAGAAAGGGGCCACAGACATTCCATTGTCCCACAGGGAAAGCTCAAGGAAAGCCTCGGCTTCCCCGATCTCCTCGAAGTTTGCCTGGGGAGGCACTCAGCAGGGAAACATCACCTCCAGACCCTCACCTCCATGCTTTGTCTCTCCACAGACACTCCCTCTGTGTCAATCACCAGCCAGGTGGGCCCAGGAAACAGCAGGACTCTCAAGTGCCTGGCCTACAACTTCTACCCACGACCAGTCAGCATGTACTGGACTCAGGCAGGCAGCCCAGTGGAGACTGATGAATGGGGAGACATTGTGCTTAGTGAAAATGGCACATACCACTCCTGGGTGACAGTGAAAGTCCCCTCTTCGGACAGAGGCCCCTACACCTGCCACGTGCAACACAGCAGCGTGGCCCAGCCCCTCACTGTCCCATGGAATGAGGGGCAGGAATGAGGGGCTGCAGGCGCCTCGGCGTCTGGAGGCCAGGAGCCGCCCCTCCCTTGGGACAGCAGAGGCATGATCTCCACAGTGACTGACATCGCCATCAGCAAGGCCCAGAGAGGCATGAGGGAACAGAGGTGCTGAATTTGGAGACACAAGGCTTGAATGCCGGGCACTGTGCTGACTCACTGCTGCACTCCCCCCGCCCCCCGAACCCATTATCTAGGCTGCGAAGGCGTAGCAACACTAATCAACTAGTCAATGTTCAAAATAAATCAGATTGCTCAGCTGTTAAATGTTGTAGAAATGTCAGCAGAGGGTCTATCATTCACGCGGCCCCCAAGCACTTGAATCATCTGAAATTCGTGGTATCCACGGGAAGCAATATGTCCTGGCCATCTTGACCACGGGCCCCCACTCTACCGTGGCAGGACCACCCGGTACCTTGAGCATTGTTCAGGTGCTCACTGCTGAGGTCCGCCCCGCTTGTAAGGTCACAGAACTCTGCAGCCTCTTTAGTACAATCTGAAGCCTCTTCTCTACCTCAGTTTTTCTGGCATCTGCTTGCGTCCCTGTGACGCTGCCCTCCACTCCAGCTACTCCACCAATTCCACACCACGTTGGCCTTGGGGCCACACACAACCACAGCTTATTTGGGAGGTTCCATCCCTCCAGGATGCACTCCCAGGGGAGCAAGAATCCGCTGGAGGTTCTCAGACTCCTCCCAGATTCATTTGATTGAGAGAGAGAGAGAGAGAGAGTCTCACTGAGTCACCTGCCGCTATGCACAGGTCAAAGCAAAAAAACCCCAAAAAACAAAAAAACAAAAAATGAGAAGACCAGAACAGAGATCGTAGATGTGACAGTTTTTAAGCCTTGGTGCCACAAATTACCTTCAAAATTCCTCAGTCTCTTACAACTAGCTTGTCTCTCTTTGAAGGATTCTTCTGGGGGTAGTTTAGCAGCTAGACTGGAGGGATGAAGTACTCTGAACTAAGCGGGAAACATGCTGGATATAGGAGCGTAAGACATTCTTTGCCAATCCGTTGTCATTTTGACTGAACGCTGCTTTTTAACTTTGTTCTTATCGCTGGCTAAATAGCTCAGTTGGTTAGAGCATTAGCTCCCTATGCCAAGGTTGTGGGTTGGATCTCTGGTCAGAGCACATGCAAAAATCAAACAATGAATGCGTAAAGCAGTGGAACAACAAATCAACGTTTCTCTCTCCCTACACACACACACACACACACACACACACACACACGCCCTTCCTCTCTCTCTCTCAAGTCAACCAGTAAATAAAGATAATTAACCTTGTTTGCTGCTAGAACCTGCTCTTTCAGCTAAATAGCCTTATTGGTCATCAGGCATAGTTAGCGTTTTCTCTCTCTTTCCTTTGCTCATTCACTGATGGACTCAGTGAAGAATTACGTAGTGGGTATCCGTTTTATGCTGGAGGTGACCTCACTTCTGCCAATGGAAATAATACCCATTGTCAAGGTACAGCTCCAATCTCCCCTCCTCCCGTGACCACTGCCGTGATCACCGCCTCCGACATATACTCTTTTCGTGCTGAGACTTCTTTCAGATGAAGATATCAGGGAGGCCCTGGCCAGCGTGGCTCGGTTGGTTGGGGTGTAGCCCTGTAAACACGGGGTCCCTGGTTCAACTGCTGGTCAAGGCACATGCCCAGGTTGTGGGATCAATCCTTGGTGGGGGTGCATGCCGGAGGCAGCTGATCGATGTCTCTCTCACTTGCTCTCTCTCTCCACCACCCCTTCCCCACTATCCTGAATGAGAATAAAATAATTCTTTAGAAAATATATGAGCAAAGGTTTCAAGGAAGAAATTTGAGTAAAGCCTGTTTCCACCTTATCTAAGGATGTGAAAAGCAATTCCAGACCACCCATCCCAATTCCACTTTTTTGTTCCTTTCCACATGAAAGGGAAGACATATAAAAGAGAAGAAATCAAAGATGGGTAGGGGTGGGGGAAAAAAGATGGGGAAGACACGGAAATGAAATTTGCCAATTTCTGCATCCCAATTCAGACTTTTTCCTTTGCTCCTTTTTAAGTTTTGGAGAATGCATCCATCCATTTCTTTATTCAATCAATGTTTCCTGAAAATCTCTCAGTTATAAGACACTGAGATAGATGTTTATTAAGAAAGAAAGGAACCAGAAGTATATCATTTCACACAGTGATAAGGTCACAAGTGTTTTGGGGGTCAAACTGGGGACATTTGGTTAATATGCGCTAAGGTTCGGATATTTATCCTTAGTGACAGTTGAAGTCTTTTCTTCACTCCTCACCCGAGGATACATTTATTGATTTGCGAGAGAGAGAGAAAGGGAGGGAGGAGAGAGAGAGAAACAGGGATGTGAGAGAGGAACATTGCTTGCTTGCCTGTGTTATGGGCTCTGACCCAGGATCGAATCCACAACCTAGGTATGTGCCCTGACCAGGGATCCAAACGACAACCTTCTCGCATATGAGACGGTGCTCCAGCCTACCGAGCTACCAGAGCAGGGCCACAGTGAAAGGCTTTTTGACAGTAGCGTGACATGATCACATTTGTGATCCAGGAATATTAACCAGGTAGTAATGAGTACAGTGGATTGGAGGATGAGCAGAGAAACTAGCTGCTGAAAGCGCCCCTTGAGGTCTAACAGCAAAGGTGCAGCTGGCCGGGCGCACTTGGGCAGGGTCTCCTCCTGCTTGAGTGTCAGGACCCTTAGGCTCCCATTGAATCTGATGAAGCCGAGATGGCTAGATCACTATCTCCAAAAGCAGGAGAGCCTCCGGAAGTGGCAATTCTTTCTACTTGGGAGGTTAATAACCACCATGGATCATTCTTCAACTGAAAGCTTGCAGAGACTGGAAAGAACACCAGGCAGCCCAAACTAAACTTTTCCCTACAGCCAGGCTGGCAGATGCCTCCTTCTGCCCCTCCTGCCCCTCCTGCCCCTCCTGCCCCTCCTGCCCCTCCTGCCGCTAGCTGTCCCAGAATGCAGAAGAGGGAAGGCTCCTAGACAGCCTCACGAGATGCCTCCTCCCCGCAACATGCTGCTCCTTCTATCATGTGTTTCGCTGCCTTTTATTTCACTTCATTTTATTTTCCTCTCTCCAGGTAGGAAGATGAAGTTCATCATAACTAGAAAGGAAACACCACATGACCAGCCTCAGACGACCCAAGATCCCTCTTGTTTTCTTTAGGCAGTAACTTTCCCAATTCATACACATCCTCACGTTGCAGACCCTTGGCTGTTTATGGGAGATGAGCCTCTCTTTGACATGCCAGCTGCTAGTAGGTTCTCTCCCCGCTAGGCAAATGAGTCAGGGTGAGCAGCCTCAAACGCTGTGGTGATAGACACCTGCTGCCCTCCTCTCTCTCTGTCCGCCGTGAGTTACGAGATCTCCATGCTGTGACTAATTTTGACAGATCACATTCTGAGGTGCTGGGGGGTTAGGGCTTCAACGTGCAAGTGGGAGGCGGACACAGTTTAGCCCAAAACGTTGCTCCTGAGAGCTTTCTTGGCTCTGGGCTGCCACTTATCTTCCACATTGAAAAACCGTAAAGGCCTTTTGAGATAAGAGTGTGCCTTCTGAAGGATTCCACAGAATGAAGAATTAGGTCCTGAACATCGGATTTTAATGTGGGAAAGTAACCTACTTAAATACACTGCCATTCCAGAGCCAGCTAAATGGATTGCTGTCATCTCATCTTCTGTGTTCTGTTTCCCACGTTTTCTTGTCACTTCAGACTTACCACGTGGGCTGAGGCATGAGGATTGGTGCACACAGCTGCCTTCGCAGCCCCTGCAGTCTTGCAGAATTGTGTCCACCAACATCGTTGGATGACAAGCAACAGACACTGACATCATTGGATGACAAGCAACAGATACTGGCTGTCTAACTTTAGCCCAGCACCGCCCCTCCCAAAAGGTCTTCATTGGTAAAAACTTTAAGTTGCTCGCAATTAAAAGGAAGAGTTGCAGAACCACCTCTTAGGGGCTCAACAACAAAGAATTGAGGAATATTGTGGCGGGGCGGGCACAATAGCTCCAAAAGGAGTTAAATGCCTAGGAATAAATGGGCATTGGCCTCCAGGTTGGTCAGGCTTTAGTGTCCCAACTTAGATAGGTTATTGTTAGTCACCAAGTCACCTACCTTTAGTCTGGAATCTGGTATTTGGAATCTGGACTCTGGTACTTCTCTTTTGGAACCTGGGATAGAGGCTCAACAGCGCTCCTGACTCCAGAGCCCTCATGCACCTTTAGCCTCCCATCCAGCCTCCCTCGTGCTCGGCAGAGCAGAGGACAGCCCTCTGTGGAGGGACCACCCAACTGGCATCAAAAGCACTGGAAAGAGCCTTGCGTTGGCCACGCAGACATCACAGGACGCGGCATTAGGCGAGGGACTGAACACAGGACGAGAAAGTGTTGTTTGACAGTCTGTATAACAAGAAGTCCGACTTTTCACCCCCCCAAGAGAAGGGAGGTATTTTTTCTGGAGAGATCTAGCCAAGGTCCCTGCTCCAAATTCAGGAACAGGAGCATGGATGTGGATGGCACCTGGAAATGAGTTGCCAGGTAGAACGCGGGGAGGAAATGACAGGCTACGAACTGAAGAGTGAGGCGCCGCGGCCCCCTCTCCTCTTGACCCTCTTCACTTACTCTGCATCTTCAGGTAGTGTATCTCAGGGCCACACATGTCCTCGAGCTTACTTTTTCAAGTGGAGTTTGTGTTTCGTTCCTTCATTCTCACTGTTGCTGAAGGAGTGGTTTTCCAAGAGAACAGAAGTGAAAACATCCTCACCTCACTCTCCTCCAAGCAGAAGTCTAGGTTTCCTTTCACATTGGGAACCATCCCCGCCCCACTGGCGATGGCCGCTGGCAGATTTCAGCCCGTAGCTCCTGCTCCACTTTCAGGGTTTCTCACTTTTGTGTTTCATTCTTCATGAAATGAAAAAGAAAATGAAGAAACTGAACAATTTCTTCTGTGTTCTTTCAGCTTTTTACTGTCTCCAGATGGATTTACCTTTTGTTCTTACGTTCTGTATACCCTTGCTTTTTGAAAATATCATCCCGACTACCTGTTCATATCTGCCTGCACCTGAGCCTGAGTTTCACCCTTGGTCCTCTATGTATGACATAGATCTTACTGTGTTTTTAAAGTGCTGATGTCTTCCCAACTTTTCACCTTATTTTAAAAATAAAAACATCATCTCAGAGGTATGCTTTTCTCAGATTCCATGCCAGCTAACACTCTTTAAGGACATTGTGACATTTTAAAAGGACCGTGTTTCTTTTCTCTTGACCGTCCTCGAATGGGGACTGATATCTCATGAGAATGCTAACCGCTAAGGTGTGTCTCTTCCCACTACCTGTCCTGGGAGGTGACCCTAAAGGGGATGTCATGGCAAGGCCATAGATGAACCAGAGATGCCTCATAGACACCCACTAGAGAATCTTGGATTTCTTGCACAGTCTAGAGAGTCGGATCAATATTTCAGTTCTTGCTCGGGTTCCATAGGACAATTTCCAGTGCAATTTCAGGAAAAGCCCCACCCTAGGAATGTCCTCTTGCCACGAATTACCTCCTTCTTAACAATTCCTCAGTTGCTTTAGGATAGCATGGGGCTCTGTATCAGGTGCCCCTCTGCAAACAGCCCACCAGCCCCCAAGGGTACACGGAAAGGCCTGTGTTCCCATATAGCTGGCCTCTCTTTAGTCTGTGTTCTATTTAATGCATGAAAACAATCTTGTTTTCATATTTATTTTACCTTAGTTTTTCCGATTACCAGTTCTCCCCCCTATACTCCCTTTCACTTCCATGCATTGCCCTCCTGCTGGCAACCACCCACACTGTTGTCTGCGTCCATGCGTTCTTTCTCTTTATTTTTCCTTTTTTCCTCAATCCTTCCACCCCACCACTCCATCTCCAGAGTTGTCAGCCTTCTCTTTATCTACAAGTCTGTCTCTGTTCCACTTGTTAGTTCAGTTTGTCCATTACGTTCCACCAATGGGTAAGATCATATGAT